GCCTTTAAGGAGCTGGGAAGCAGGCAGAGAGGTGGGATTTAGGACAAAACCCGGTGCTTCCCCTGCCCCCTTCCACACCCAGTGCCGCAGACTGCACCTGCTGCGGCAGCGACGGCTGGCTGCCAGCCAAGCGCCAACGCTCTCCAAGCAGACCGTGCACACACAAGTCGGCACGCATGCTACATGCGAGTAATTCCCCAAACAAGCTTTCCTGAAGTGTAAAAAAACCAAAAACAAAACAAAACCAAGAAAACCCCTCCAACGCTGGCCTTGCAGGTACCCCGGCAGTTTCTCAGCCAGTCAGGGTAATGGTAACGCCATGGAACAAGTCAGTGACACCGGGGAAGGAGCAACTGGGGGTCCCAGCACAGAAACACAGAGGGGGTGATGCAGAGCAAGGGTACGGTTCGGTACCACCAGGCCACAGTATCAAACGTTAATGCCCTCATGAAGGGAAGCTGTGGGTAAAGCACCAGCTGTGGGAGGGAGCCCAGGCAGCACAGCGCATCCCAGCTGGCTGTTTCACCCACAAACAGATCGTTTATTTTGGGAAAGACTGACTCCGTGAAGCAAAGCTGAACAGTCAGGCGATGGCATTCGCCGCTCAGCCAGGTCCCCCCTCACCCACCCCCCTGGAGCCCCCCAGGGAGAACAGGAGTTAGCCCTAACCCTTGGCCTCCCCTTCCACCAGCCCCGTGCACGGACCTGCCGGAAGAGCAGGGGCTGCAGGGCAGAGGGCCCCACCGGGGGAAGAGGGCAGCTCCGTGCTGCAGCCCCCAGGGCAGGAGGGAGATACTCGCGTACAACCTCCAGGGAAGGGTTGAAATGGTCCGAACGCCCCGCGGCACTGCTGGGGTCACGTTAACTGCTACAGATACTATTGCTAGCCCACAAGCTGAGTTCTTGCTTGGTCAGTGGTCCAAGGCAGAGTTACTCTCAGAGAGCCCCATGCTGCCTGTACGCAGGGCCTGCCCGTGCTACCCTGTCGGGGAGCAGGCAGGCCCCAGGCTCGAGCACAGCTCCAGGTGTGTGGCATTCCCTCCTGGCTGCAGCTCTGCCAGGGGTTGCATTTGGTCATTTTATTTCCATGTTTGGGTTGGTTATTCACAGTGCCCAAACAGCAGAAAAAGGCAGCATCAAAAGCAAAGCCCCATCAGCAAAACCCAGGGCAGAGCTAGCGCCACCAAACAGACCAGCACTTGTGCTGCTCACCACCAGCCCCACAGATGCTGCCAACTGTTAGTTGAGTGCCCTTTCCAAATAACCCAGGAGAATTTCAAAGGCAAGGCTCTCCCAGAGGCTCCTGAAGCAGGAGGCTCCTCAAGCCACAGCTCCAGCCCCCTGAAGAGCCCCGTGCCCTCCTGCTTTCTCTTCCCTACATCCAGGTCCTCCCTCCAGAACGCACGTGCGACGAGCGACGAACTGGGACACCCAACACCCAGCAGGCATCTACAGAGCCTCCTCCAGAAGGCAGAGCTAGTGCGGTCAGAACCATCTGGGTGGCATGAGGAGCTCTTCCATCCTGCCTCCCCTCAGCTCTTCTATCCAAGTACATTTAAAAACAATGGAGCAATACAATTGTTTAAAACCAAAGTTGTCTGCTTTTTCCTGTGGTAGTAGGTGGTCTTGTCTGCTCCTGCCACCAGGACAAGAATAAGAGGCTGTAGCCCAGGGCTACTGGTTTTCCTCACGCATCTGTTCCATGATGTTGATGAGGCTTTCCAGCCCAAATACATAACCCATGTCGGGTCCGTCATGCACAGTGGGGTCATCGCGAAAGCCTTTGAACGTGCTGTGTGCAAAGTCAATCATACGCACATCCACCTTGGGCTGGGCGGAGGAGCCGGGCTCCGTGCTGCTGCCATCCTGAAGGCTCTCCGGGAGAGAGCTGTCCACCCGCTTCAGGCGCATCTCTGGACGGCGCTCCACAAACACCCCTGCCCTGCTGTCCTTCCCATCGTAAATGATGAGAAGGGAGCTGGAGTAGAAGCGGTAGGAGGCCTGTCTCTCCAAAACTGCCTTCAGGCTTCGCAGTTTGGCGAGGACAGGCTCAAAGAGGTCCTTGCGCAGCTCAATGCCGTTGTGGAGATACTGGTAGAGGGCATTGCGGAAGCCCTCGATGGAAAGACCGCGTCCATAGTATTTATTCCTGCATAAGTAATGCCCTGTGTCCAGCTGATAGACCTAGAACACCAAAGGAAATGCAGATCAAGTGGGAGCAATAGATTAAGGCCACACACAGAGAGCTGAGCTGTCCTGCACTGACAGGGCAGAGGGAACTCATCCTGTCCTCACCACGCCCAAGAGGGAGCAGGAAACAGCTCTGCCTGTTCCCTGAATCCCAAAGCAGCTCATGGGTGCATCCCATAGGCACAGTGGCCAAGCACTGGTTCTCTCCCAGGACACCCAAAAAGGGTGGCTCTTCAGTCTGAGCATCCCCAAGAAGCATGATACAACAGACCCTGAGGCTTAAAAAGCCAAGTCTTACAGCAACTTGGACAATCCTCTGGCAGCGGAAGCTGCTGGCACATATTGCTGTCGTTATGTGGCATGTGATTAATGAGGGCCGCTCACTGCTTCAGAGTCTGTGGGCAGAGATCTGGATTACAAGATCCTTCTGTGGGTGGGGAAAGGAGCGACTATTGCACAACAGCACCAGCAGCAACTCCTTGGGTGCAGGGCCTAGCCACAAGAGGAGAGCAACTTCTTAACTCCTAATACAGTACAGAAGCAAATATCAGCTGATGCTGGGACAGAGGGACACCCCCCTCCCCATGCACCGTGATTCTAGCTGAACACTAAGGCACAAAAAAAAAAATTATTAGAAAATCCCTTAATTGTTTGTGAACAAAAGCACTTTAGATAAAGCGGGCCATTTCAGAAGCAGGTTCCTTCGTTCTAGGCTTAGAAATGAAGACAAAAAGCATGTACCATGAACACTGGTGTACCTACCTGAAGTGGACGGCTCTGTAACTCAGTGCTCAGCAGAAAACACTAACTAGGAGGTGAAACGGGGCTGCAAAAGGGAATACGCAACACCTGCAGCCTTGGAGATCCCTACCTGCATCCCACACACGCGCACGCCCAAGGTGGCAGAAGTGCTCTGTTCGCACTTCTTCATCTGCCGAGCAGCCTTCTCCTCAGATGCATCATCTCCGTGCTGTCTGGTCCCCATCTTCAGATCAAGTACACAGGGAAGCTTGAAGTGATGCACCACGTTCTCCAGCAAAAGGAACTCTGGGAGACGTGTCAAGGAGAGCTCACACGTCAGAGACACCGCTCCCCAGGGCCACCACAGACAGAGACTTGGGCCAGCATGAGATAGGGTTGGACAACGAACAAATAGGAACCCAAAGAACAGAGAGAACGAACTGTCTGGGGAGGAAAAGAAAAGTACAAAACCCAAACAGTGGCACCCAGTCTTTCACACTTGGTAGAAGAAATCAGCCTGGAAAGTGGAACGGCCAACAGTAAGCAAGGAGATCACATGCAGGCGTACAGGAAACTCAGCAGGGGGAACCGAAGAGCAGAACGCTAGTGTCAGGAAAGACACGACCTGCCAGTAAGAACTGCTGATACACTAAGGGATAGCTTAAAGTCTAATCAAATTAGCAACTTAACCATATGGATAAACAATACAATCCCCAGGGACTGAAAACTCAAGGCTCAAGTAATAGCACAGTACTGTTGCTATTGGCCTGCCCAGAACAGCAACACTGCCCGACACAGGGGAAACCGGAGAGGCTATAAAGGCAGGAAACAGAACAGTAACTGGAGCCTTCAATTACCAGCACGCACAATGGGCAAACCCTCCATTAGGGTTTCATGCGCTGAGAACAAACCTGAGACAATCACTGCAGCAGCTTGTCCCAAAGGAGGGAAAAAAACAAAACAAAACCACACCTGAAGTTTGCCCCAAGTAGCCCTGCAGGGCACAGTTCAACCTGCTCTGCTGAAATGGCAACCAGAGCACAGCTAGATTAAACCTGCAAGGAAGTTTAACATTTAGAAAAATCTATCATCAACTATGTTTCATTTTGAAAGAGGAACTTCATAAAAATAAGGAAGTGTGATTAAAAAGAATAGGACAGCCAAAAAGAATTACTTCTCTGCAAGTGATGCAGGCTATTTAAAAATAAAAGATAAGAGGCTCAAAGCACACGTTTGAGAACAGGAAAAAAGGAAGCCCACACAGTTAAAATAATGAAGAATACAGCTATTAAAAGTAAGGTTGTTTCTATGTGAGGAAAACAGAATGAAGCTCCAGCAGGTGAAACAAAAAAAACCCCACAAGCTGGCAAATTCAAGACAAAAGCATGAGGAGTCATTTGCGAAGGCACAGAAAATAAAAATCCATCTTCAACCAGTCAGACTGCCTGCAGGGTTTGAAGACAAAGTACAAAAGGAGCCACAGGAGAGTGGGTGGGATGGGGGTGTGTGAGGAGACCCCCCACTAAAAAAAGAAATAAGATTAATATTTTGCTTCTTTGTTTACTGGGGAAGAGCTTAGGGGACTCCCAAGCCAGAACTCTCTTTCAGAGTTCAGAGAATTCTCAAACAGAAATGCCAAGAGAAGAGACTGCATATTGAACAGAAAGTTAAGAGATGTGTAACTCATTTAACACTGCCTTAGTACCAGGAGGTTGAAGGGGGGCTACCACAATGCTGATTTGCGGAGATCTGGGGAACTACACACTAGCCTGCCTGGTCTTGCAGCCAAAGTCACCCGCGGGGTCTTTGTGTGGATATCCATGCCAAACAACAAGTGATCCAGAAAAGTGAGTGAACAGTGAGGTGACAAATTTGCTTGTAGTAATAAGCTACTCAAGGTCGCAAACACAAGGAACAGTTGGGAAAAACTCCACAAGGATCTTATGAGACTGACTTGGCCATTAAATGGGCAGGCAACATTCTCTAGAGTTAACACGCAAGATAAGGAGAAAAAGATTTTTAATACATAAGGCAGCGTGCTTTGAGACAACTATTACCAGTCAGAAGTGGGATCTTGGGGTAATGAAATAGCACTTAGAACAAGAGTGTGTTAGGAATTATGAGGGACAGGAGAGACAATAGCATTAAACACCAGTGGAAGTCTCTGGTTCACCTACATCTTCTGTTTTGTGTGCAGTTCTGGTCACGGTCTCCAGAAAGATACAGTCGAACTGGAAGAAACTCAGG